AGGATATAATACACGCCATGGCTACAGCAAGCCAGGCCATCTTGCATGACGCGAGAGATAAAGTACATAAACGTGGATGGCGATACAAAGAAAGGGTGAGCTAAAACCCTTTAAAATGTTTGTTATAATACATATGTTAAGTTTGTCCTACATTGTTCCTACTCCTTCCCTTTCTACTCTTTCCTGTATTGTTTTAGACTATTTATTAAAATTCAGTAATCAGTTGTATTCGCAATAACTGAAGTTTACTTTCGGGATTTCCACAAACTTCGCACGATGATAATTATCATTGCACAGTAAATATCGTAGTGCATCAGTTGAATACATCACAATGCCGCCAATAAAAGTAATCACCTATTACAAAGCTTTATATCAGTGACGTTATTATTCCATGGATGATCGTATCCTGAATTAATTAATTGTTGTATGTGTAAATTTAGAATGTAAGTCTGTAACAGCTTAGATTGGTTGGTTAAGAGTTGACCCCAAACAACCAAGTATATGCCAAAACAGTATTGTTCAAGTATTAATTCACTTCCTTATTTTGTATAAGCGTTATATTCCCTATTATCTTATATTGAATGTCAAGAGCCTTTGTTTGTCTGAACAGATAATACCACGCTCAACTGTGACTGCGCGAAGATCGAAATAAAGACCTATTCACTACTTCTCTGGTTTCTTCTATCAATAGCACCAGGGTTACCTTAAGGCACGAAAAGTCTTTATCTCCGCGCACCTTTTTAGAACATGTGCACTCAGTGTCTGAAATAAATGATAGGGTCTAAATATTCTGGTTATGTGGTGTCAAAAGTTGAATTGTGACAGTTCAATTATGTTTAACTTGCCAGAAAAACCAATTGTAAATAGGGAGATCTGAATAAATAAGACTTGCATGGTTTCATGATAGTGGATGTAATCACATATAATATGATTATGCCCAATGATTGAAGTTGACTTATTGGATTTTCAATGTTTTCCAATTATGAGTTTCATAATATAAAACATAGAATCCATTGGAGATATTATTAATTGTTCAGTGGATTACGTTCGTGGGGCATACAAAATATATCCTTTTAGTCAGAAAGAATATGAAGTAAAGGTGAGCACACACAAACAAGACTGCCATCTGCGTATTCTAAGTTGACAAGTGTAGCTTCTGGAAGGAGATCGGATCTTAAAAATTCAGTCGACGAGAACGTTATTTCCAGCAGTAGGTCTATTATGAAATTGAACAGAAGTGGGATAGTGGACAGCCTTGTCGGACACCACTTGAGGTTTCAAAATCAGGCGAAAGTTCGCCATAAGCTCTGACTCGGCTAGTAGTGTTCGAATAAAGAGCCTTCACAAGGTTTGTGAAGCTTCAAATATGTCTATCTACTGAGTATATACAGGCTACATAATGTGAAAATAGACAAAATCAAAACCTTATTTCAGGAAAGATGAACCAAAGATAAGTGTGGATTTATAGGAAATTGTCTATAGATTAATTATACTTATAATCAGTGACATAGGCGATGAGCTACAGAATTTATTTTTCCGGACGTTATTACATTTATTTCGAAGTTCATAAAACGGTAACATTTATTTTCGTTTCTTGTCTGTTCTACAGATTATAAGCTTTGGACATAATTGTATTTTTATAATTGTTATGTGGTCTGTTTACTCATCTTTTTACTCATGTAACTTTAAACACTAATCTGAAATCGGGAACGAGATCGCAACTGGTAATAAGTCGTGTAGTGTTCCGGTTGACCTGTCTTCTCTCACTTGCGTGCTTGTCAGTCAATCAGGTGATAAAAAAGTTTTCTTCTCTCTACCTCGAGCAGTTGGTCTCACTTGAAACTCACTCATGCTAGTCTGAAAGTTAAGCCAGCCAGAATATTGCGTCAAGGTCTTAATCTAGATTAGAAAAGTTATCATCTGCACAAACGTGAGTAGACTGATAAAAGACACAACAGTGATAAATGTAGTCAGAATGACTCCTGACTGGTTAATAATCAGTGACATAAGTGAAGAGCTACACTGAACATGAGTGACTTAATTACATTTTATAATGCATCCCACTTCAGATGCTACTTGCTGATTCCTTCATATTTTACATTAACAATTACCCGTTCTGATTCATAATTCCTTTTCTTTAGAACGGTGGGATTACTGAAAGCGATTGTGAATGGCTACGGCTTCCGCTTCTAAAATTTCGTTGTTGTAGTAGGTTGCATATAAGGACATAGTACAGGAAGAAAGAATTAGTTGGTAGAAAGAAAGATATAAAGCAACTTTGATTTCACAGTTTAAGGGAAGACAACGAGTGTATACATCTACGCCATTGTGATCGATTCTGAGCCACGTCACACAGAGTATCCAAGAATTCGTTACGGTAGTCACGCGGACCCCAACCAAGTAGTCTGCATCTATCAACATGACTATGACTAGAAGTAAGTAACTTCAAGCACTAATGGTTTGGCCGCCTCTACTCCTCTTACAACCATCCCCAACACCAGTGAGCATTGCGCGCCGTGGTAATCGGTGTTCGGGCATATGCAACACGTGGTCAAACCATCTCAGTCGATGAAGATTTATAGAATTATGGGCTGTTTCGTTATGAGTACTGCTCTATAATGGACCTAATCCTAAAATTTCAGATTCGTCATGATATAACGGACTAATCTATAAGATCTTACGTGGAAGTTACATCATCGTCTATACCAACTCATTCAATAGGGACCACACCTGCAAGGCCGAGCAATGCCTTTCGATCAACTCGAATTAATTGTTCCCGCCTTCCTCATCGTTAGGTTTTCCTCCGCGTTAAATGTTGAATATCTATTTTCCCAAGCGTTTCGTGTTTACTTTTGAGGATTGTGTAGTTAGGGTCCAATGCCACTACAGATTCACGACCTCATCAAGTGATTTACCATCATTTCCTAATTCCCTGCGTCTAACCTTACTATTACTTACACGATGATCCCAGCAGATGCCAGCAATATTTCTAAGACATCTGTGATCAAATATAGGTGGCTTACTAGTATCTTCTACTCTTGATGACCACGTTTTGCGGAGCAGAGCGAGTCGCCTCGCACTATACTCGTCCCTTAATTAACAGACGGATATCTCACCTTCGCTACAGGTGATGTAAGTTGTCAAAAGTATGTATTGAGGTCATGTTTTTTAGGAATATTTCGGTACACACAAGGCAAAATAATGCTACTTAAAGGAGATACATAAGTAGGCAACAATCTCTTCACAGACCGAAAGCACTACGAATCTGTAAACCGTTATATTATTGCTTTGTAGATCACGAGTTTGTGTGATCTGTGTAGAAGGACCCTGTCTATAAGATTTGGCAGGAACTGCCTGGTTAGGTCGACATTATAATCCACAGATAATACCCAACCTAGATTGGCCTCTCGTGGTACCTAGATAATTGTGCTCAACTGACAAGTGAACAGAAAAAGTATGAAGATTTTTAAAAAATATAAGAGTAGGTAAAAGACAGAATGAAACCATTGCTAATACTGGCCA